TCTAGGCAGGTCTTAGTGCCACTCTTCGTAATCAACAGCTTGACTCTGAATGCATTTATCTGTCGAGTTTGAATCAGCATATATGTTGTTTCCATGTCTGTAACCTTTCTGTGGCATGGAAGACCCAGCCATCTGTAAAAGCTCCACGAAGGAGGTAGGATGTTTCAAACTTTTGAGTTGATTTCCATTAGTCAGATCTTCTCCTTCTGAGTTGCTCTCTGAGCACGAGCCTATTCTTTCTGCAGTCTGAGCAGTGGCAGAATCGAGAGAGTTCTGAGACAAAAGGACAGAATCTGGAGATGAAAATTCATCATTTATTGTTCTCTTTTCTCCATCACAAAACACTGTTCCCGTTCCTTCTATCTCAATGATTGATTTTTTGTCTTTTGAGTAATAGCATCTCTCTAAAGCACCACCTGAAGAATCCAAAACAACATCACCGCTGCTTCTAGAAGTTTCATCATAGTTGAGAGTCTCTTTTTCATTACAACCGGGGTCATGTACAGTCATCGAACTCTGGTTGCAAACTGGTTTATCTGATACAGTCTCTTCTGAGTCCACCAAATACACTATTGGTTCATGACTTACTGAGCTTGCTCCTCCTTCATGGCACCGTTCAATAGTGTTGTCTAACTTCATTGGGAACCTTGCAGCAAGTGACATGAATGCAGAACTGTAGAAAAAGAATAAACAGATTAGGGTATCTTGTATTTGACCTTTCTTTGAGTACTTTCTGTCATCTGGTAAGTATTGGAAGAAACTATAATTCACCTAGAAAGATGATCCGAGACATTTTGGGTTAGAAAAACTCCAATTACTGAATCCACAACTGATCCCTTCCAAGGCGAGAAGCGTCTATCCCCTACAGCAAGGCATCATGCTATTACACTAAGAAGCAGTAACTCAGTCATTTTAGCCAGAAGTAGAGTAAACCTCGTAATATATGACATGCAAGGAACTACAAGTCCATTATGTGCTACATTCATTGCTTAAGATGCAAGGGCTAGTGGGATTGAGTTCAGAGGTTCACAAACTCAATTTTCTCTGATTCATTTTCCTTTGGACCACATATATGAGTCTTTTTCCTTGATTCTTGCAGTTGGATGCCTTTGATTCATTTTCTTCGGACCGCATATATTGGCTATTTCCAACCAACATAGCCAATAAACCAGGGAGTATCTAGTAGCTATGAGAAGATTCAGTGCATGGATGTGCTTATGCACGCATGTTGTATCATATACTTTTCACATGAATTAGCTTTCAGCTTATTGCATGTACACTACACTACAAGAGGGAAATCCTCCTACTAAGCATTGCAGTAATATGAAATTAGTTCACGTATTTACTATGACAGAATGCC